AACAAAAATCGTAAAATTTGTTCTTGGATGGGGTTTGGCGCATGATTAATTATAACACAGGGGAGTTTGACACATTTTTTAAACCACAGAGTGATGCTCTGAATATTTATTTCAAGAGAGGGTTTGGTGCATTAAATCCCTTTCGTCCTTGACACAATTGGATTTTAATAACAAATTATAATATTTTTAAATTTATGAAGTGCCTCAATTAGTAAAAATAATGTATTTATTTATGAACAGGGTCGTAGATGAGGGCGTGAAAAGCGTGCCTTTGCACAGGGCCTCCAAAAATATAAGGCCCGTTTTTTTTTGTAAAATCTATATAATGTGTATATATAGGCTAATTATTTTTGTAAATAGTTGATTACTTTATTTGTCTGAATGATCTAACTATGCAGGTTATTTAACCAAAGGTAAAAGTTCATTATTTCTTATCCTATTTCTTTTCCAATTTTAGATTTTTTTACAAATTTTATTTGTTCAAGTTCGAAAAAGTGATCATTTCTTAATCTCACATTTGTTTGTAGTTTTTTTGGATTTTCTTAAGCTTGATTTTTGGTATTGTTTTCATTTAATATAAGGTCTATTTTTTGTGACTCGCACCGGATTTCCTAATTTATTGAGCCGACCGTATTTATGAATAATAAAAAAATATAAACGAATATCCATAAAAATCATACCCAGATCCACATGTCCAACGCTAATTTTGGGAACAAACAAAAAAAGAGCAATTCTTTTTCCTTCAAACAAACAATTTTGATGGAAATTTATTCACAAATACTGGGTAACAAATGGGACTACGAAAAGATCAGTGAAACGAGTGGTGGTAGCCTAAATTTGCTGTCCACCCCACAACTCCTCGTGAGTAGAGACCCACACGACCTTCCCACTGCTTCACATTTCACACTTGAAACCACTTAAAAGATATACGGAGTAATATATATATATATATATATATATATATATATATATATATATATATATATATATACGGAGTATTTTCCGGACCAGTTAACTTGCAAAAATCATTTGACGACCTTCCCGATTGAGTTTTTGGCTGAATTTTTTTGTGGATAAACTAGACTTGATGGAGAACATGCCATAAAAATTTCATCAAAAAATTCCACCGGGAAGGCGGCCAAACGCCGCCGGCCGGACGGCGGCTCCTGTCCGGACGTCTGGACAGGAGCATTCCTCTATATATATATATATATATATATATATATATATATATATATATATATATATATATATATATATATATATATATATATATATATATATCATTCATTAATTCATTATTATTTTTATTCTCCATTGCCATAAACGAATGTAAGTTCTCATCCTTTCTTTTGCTTACGCATTCTTTATGCATTTTAGAATTCATTTGGTGGTTTATGTTCATTAAAATGAGTTTTGTAGATGACATTGATTCCTTTTTCCTTTATTAATATTGTTATTGTTATTATTATTTTTATTATTATGGTTATTGTTATTAGGGAAAAGTACGGAAAAGGTACTTGTGGTTGGACCCGTTTTCAGATAGGGTCATGTGTTTCATTCTTTATCAAATTGGTTCATGTATTTGAATTTCGTTATCACAAGAGGGTCATGTCATTAAAAACGTCTGAAAAAGACCGTTAAAAGTAACTCTGATTTTCAAAAGTGTCCGGAAAATTAAAAGAAAAATACAGAAAGGTGTGCCTTGTCGAGATGACCTCCAAACCACCTTCGCCTTTGGATTTTTCAGATATGTTTGAATTATTTTTTAAAAATGAATTCGCTAATATCACTTTTCCGGTGACAAGGGTGGTTGAAAACAAAAGAGAAAGATGGCCTAGCGGTCGTCTTATTGAGACGCATCTTCCAGTATTTTTCTTTTGATTTTCTGGGGACTTTTGAAAATCGTAGTTACTTTTAACGGTCTTTTTCAAACGTTTTTAACGGCGTGACCCTCTTGTGATAGACTGATAGCGGAATTCAAACACATGAACCACTTTGATAAAGAATGAAACACACGACCCTATCTGAAAACGAGTCCAACCACAAGTACCTTTTTCTGTACTTTTCCCTTTGTTATCATTATTTATACTCCGCATTTTGTTTGGTGTTGGGGGAGGGAGTTTCTCATTATTTTATTAGTGAACAGGAGACCGGTTTTTCAAATTAATTTAGCTGACCTATATTGGAGTTATTCAATTGGCTAAATATGAAGGAATGGTTGGAACCCATAATTGAGTGTAGGAAATTTTTCACTTTTTATTTAAAAGCTTTTGGATGATGAGTTAGTTCTAAATCTTTGTTTTACCATGTTATTAATTGGATCGAAATCTTTTGATCTAGTCTGGTCCATTTAAATTTGATCTTATTTGAACTGATCTGGTCGGATAGATGTCTGGTCTATGTGTATTTTATATATAACTGTTGATGTCTGATTTGATTTGGTTAAGTATGAGTGTATGATCTAGTCGGTTTAAATCTGGTTTAATCTAGTCTGGGACTGAGGATGTTTTTACTTGGACTGTTTTCAGTCCCATACAAGACTAGACAAGACCAGACTTAAACAGACCGGACCGGACAAGACCAGACCAAGCTTGACTTCCATAGTTATAAAATGCACAGAGACCAAACATTTACCAGACCATACCAGTTTAGACCACATCAGACTAGACTTAAACATACCAGATCAGACAAGACCAGACCAGACCAAATTACACTCCAAGTAAAAACATCCTGAAACTACTACAACTAAAAACATTCTTAACTTGAAAATATATTGATTGTGATTGAAGGTACATTAGATTACAATCAATATTGACTATTGAGGGAGAGGAAGCGGTCCAGCCCAGCTGGTCGACGACTCACTCTCCCTTACGGGAGGTCTCGGATTCAAAACTCAATGGAGTGAGTTTAACCCTGATTACTTCAGGCACCCCAGACCCCCTCCTCCAGACCCCGTAGTAAAAAAATGACTATTGAGGGAATTGGAATATGTGTATTTCTTCGTTCGGTCCTTTCCCAAAAAGAAATTGGTAGAAATGGAATATAAAGACTAAGGAGGCGTTTACTTCACCGGTTATTAAACGGTGCTTATTAAGACCCGTGTTAATAAGCGGTGCATAAAATAAACAATGTTGTAAGAGTAAGACTGTGTTTACTTCAAACGGTTTAAAACACCGCTTAACATTAAAATGTCCAAAATAACCCTATACATATATACACACACAAACATTCATGAACACAAGTATATAATATAAATGTGTACCCATACCCCCTAACCCCTTACCCACCCTACCTTACTCTGACCCCACCTACCCCCTACCCCTACCCTACCTACCCGACCCTACCCCTACCCGATCCCACCCTACCGCGACCCTACCCCGAACACCATAGGCCCCTACCCCCATACCCCCTTACCGCATCGACCCCACCCTGACCCCACCTTACCCTACCTTACCCCAACCCCGCCCCTACCCTACCTTACCCCGATTACCACTACCCTACCCAATCCCACCCTACCCCTACCCTACCCACTCTGCCGCAACCCTACCCCCGACCCCACCGCACCTACTCTGCCCCTAGCGCCTCTATCACATTGGCCCCACCCCGACCCCACCACCCCAACCCCACCACCCTAGGTATAGGGTGGGGGTAAAGGGTGGGGTCGGGGTATATGGTGGGATGGGGTAGGTGGGGTAAGAGTATGGTGGGGTGACTGCGGTCAGGTAGTGGTAGGGTGGGTCGGGTAGGTAAGGTAGGGGTGGGGTTGGGTAGGTGGGGTAGTGGTAGGGTGGGTTCGGGTAGGTAGGGTGGGTTCAGGCGGGGTATGGGGTAGGGTCAGGGTAGGGGTAGGGTGAGGTCGGATAGGGTAGGGGTAGGGTGGGGTTGGGTAGGTGGGTAAGGGGTGGGGTAGGTTTGTGGTCTGGTAGGTAGGGTAGGGGTGGGGTCTGGTAGGTAGGGTAGTGGTAGGGTGGGGTCGGGTAGGGGTAGGATGGGGTAGGGTAGGGGTAAGGTGGGGTCAGGTAGGTGGGGTAAGGGTAGGGTGGGGGTCGGTTAGGTAGGGTAGGGGTGGGGTAGGTAAGGTAGGGGGGGTAGGGGTGGGGTAAGGGTAAGGGTAGGGTGGGGTCGGGAAGGGGTAGGGTGGGGTTGGGTAGGTGGGTAAGGGGTGGGGTAGGTTTGTGGTCTGGTAGGTAGGGTAGGGGTGGGGTCTGGTAGGTAGGGTAGTGGTAGGGTGGGGTCGGGTAGGGGTAGGATGGGGTAGGGTAGGGGTAAGGTGGGGTCAGGTAGGTGGGGTAAGGGTAGGGTGGGGGTCGGTTAGGTAGGGTAGGGGTGGGGTAGGTAAGGTAGGGGGTAGGGGTGGGGTAAGGGTAAGGGTAGGGTGGGGTCGGGATAGAAGGTGTAGGGTAGGGGTGGGGTAGGTGGGGTTGGGGTCAAGGTGGGGTCGGTAGGTAGGTGGGTCAGGGGGTAACAATAGGGTAAGGGCAAGGGGTAAATTCGGAAACTGAAAAAGCTTAAAGTGCCGCTTAATTAATACATGGGGGTGTGGTAGGCTTAGTAAGCGCCACTTTAAGCACCTATTTCGGTTAGTAAGCGGCTTTTTAAGCAGCGTGCGTGTTTACTTCACATGTCTTACTAACCTAACTGTGACTTTAGCAGCGAAGTAAACGCCTCCTAAGAGATTGCTCCATTTGTGTATGAGGGAGTACAGTATTATTTGTTTAGTCTTCTTTTTACTTGTATAATACTACCTCCGTTCTCTTTTAAATGCAACGTTGGACTTTTTGCACTATTCACATGTTATATTTTGACTACGTTTTATTTATTAATGTAATAATATATATTTTTGAAAAAAATATTATTAAAATTTTCTCATTATAAATTTTCAAAATCTATTTTTTAAACTTTTTTTACTAATCGGGAATTATATATATTAATGGTCAAAGTTGTGCCTCGGCAAATGTGAAATGTTGACTGTTGCATTTATTTAAGAACGGAGGAAGTATTAGCTTATAAACATCTTATTCCATTAACATTCAACTTATGATTTTCAATGGTGTATGTATCTTTAGGCTTATTTTTTCGTTTATTTGATTAAACCCCTTTTATTTTATTTAATGAAATTCAACAGATTCAACGAAATCAAGGTTTCTCGTGATGAATGAACAATCTACACCACCGGCTAACCACTCCATCCTTCCGGCAAAGAGAAGACGAGGCCGACCACGCAAAGACGGCGGCATTCCTCAAAGAGGATCCTGTCCGGCCCCATCACAACAGCCAACCCCCTCCCCGGAAGTTGTGCAGAAAACTTTGCAACCTCTTGAGGTGAACCAAACTAGCAATGGGGTTGAAAACCACATGGTTGGGAAAATGGTTACCGGCGTGATCGACGGTTTTTTCGATGCTGGTTATTTCCTAACCATACGGGTCGAAAACGATACCACTTTGCTCCGTGGAGTGGTTTTCCGACCAGGGCGGTTCGCTCCAATATCCGCATCAAACGACGTGGCACCGCAAGCTAAAATGTATCACCGAAAAGACATCCCTGTCCCGCCGAGTCCCACCATCCCTCAAGTTGAAAGCCAGGTAAACCAACCGCCACCGCCACCGCCGACGGTTCCTCCACCCGATCCGTTTTCCTTGCAAATGACCAATACGCCGTTCGTACACCAAAGTCATGATCAGAGGTTTCAGATCCAAACCCAATCCGACCATAGACCGGAGAATCTTAGGACGGTGGAGCATGATGACGTCATGCAGGTGTTTGAAATCTCACCACCCCAATCACAAGTTCCCAATGAAGAAGCTGGACATGATGAACTCATATTGTCAGGATCGGATCATAACCGAAACCCAACGGGTGACCCGGGGAGCCAATCGGATATGAAAAATGGGCTGGTAATTCCCAATGGTGATCCTGGATCGTTAGAAGCTCCTCTAAGAGGAGAATATGAAGAACATCTTATCAACCAAAGGGACCATAACAGTGAACAAAAAAGCCAGAAAGTGGGGGACACCGAATCGCCCGGAGTTGCTCAAAATGGAAAGCTTGGTGTGATGGATGATCCCATGGAAAGGAATGATTGTACGAAGAACAATGAAGCCTTACATGGTTCTTTAAAAGAGTTTTCATCAATGGAAGAAAGAACTGGGGAAATCCTGACACTTGGGATAGGGGGATCAAATGGAGGAGGAGGAAGGGATGCTATTGCTGACTTTCTTGTTCCACGACCAGACAACAACATTGAATCTCCCAAAGAAACTCATCATTGATAAAAAGTCATCCTTTACTCTCACAATTTGAATTGCTCTTTATGTGATAGTTATTCTGCTTTTTTTTTATATAGGGGGAGGGGGGTTGTAGCCGAGTTCTGCTATGAACTTTTAAGAACTATATATATTTCACATCTCTATTCCCTTTTGTTGATCATGAATGACTTCAGAAGTGGAATACACTTATACTCCTTCATGCTTTAGCTCTTTTGCTTTACGTGCCTCCCTCGGTAAACCTATCAAAGAGGGAGCAGATTTATGCGTGCTCAGTAACAAGCACACTGGCTTGATGAATATTGAGAGAATTCTGACTATTCATCACGCTTGTGTGCTTAGTGATCATGCTAGCGTACTACCTATATTTTTTAATCACACAGGTCAATCCGAACAAATTTCCACCAATTGCAACGGATTGGTCTGATTATATATAGAATTGCAAATTGATTAGTTTCAGCTAGTGTGGATTCAGACTTTCGTTCAATCAAATCGGACACAATGAGGACAAGAGGAACATACATATACTATAAATATGTCTTTCAAACTTCAGAGACTAAAATCAGATGTAGTGATGAAAAATAGGAGATAATTCACAATGAGAGATAATTCCCAAACTAGGAGTAAGCTATGACAAAAAAAAAGAAAAAAATAGGAGTAGTAGTTTAAGTATTCACAAAATAGGAATTTTTTTAAGGGTTTGAACAAAAATACCCCTACACGTACCCAATCGGTGGAGCTCTGGCGGTACAAAAAAACTCAGATTTTTCCCTAGTCCGCCTGCCGCCACCGCCGGTCACCACCTGCTCCGCCGCCGGACTGCCTCACCACCAACGGATTGACCCGCCACCAATAGACAGACCTGGTTTCCCATGGGATGGATAAAACTGAGGTATATTGGACTTCACGCATAGGATTATGTCCTTCACATATGATCTTTTTGTTAGAAATTTAAATAATATTGTGAATTGAAACATTTATGTGTAGTTATGGTACAGATTTGATTCATTTAAAAGTTAAGGGATCAAACAACAACAATACCAATAGTTGAGGTATCATTTATACATTCCAATCGTTGTTCAACCAAGCATCGGATAATTGTTTGAGGTTTAAAAAACGTGATTAACACTTAAAGACCTTTCTCTCATGTGATCTCTGACCCCCAAAAACATACTACCTCTGTCCCATATTAAACTTCCAATTGCGGGTTACGAAGTTTGACCAGCGATAAAGTTAAATGATCCCTGTGAAAACTCGGATTATTTTTAGAAAATAAAATTTACATATTCAGAAACTACATCAAACCCGCTACAAAGCCTGCAAAAAATATTTCACTTTTTTATAAAATTTTGATACATAAAGTAAGAGTTTAAGTGTGATTTAAGCTGACCCTCGAAAAGCGAAATGGAAGTTTATTTAGGGACAGAGGGAGTATATATAATGAGATCTATCATCTATATAATCCAAATAATGTACAAACCTTGAAGCATAGAGTCTATTTGGAGCTACTACTTATAAAGCAACAAAGAAAAAGAGAATTTCCCTATTTCAGATTACTATTTCTAATTTCTGTTACGTATACATAAAATAAGTGTTTTTACATTTCGTAACAACACTGCCTACAAAAGCAAAACCTATTCTCAATATTTTAGAATCAATATGTCGCATTTTTTGTTGAATCATTTAAATCATGAGATATGCTATCAAAAATATTAAAAAACAAATAGGCTTCCTGCCATAATTTTGTTGGGAATTGATTTTTGTACCCTAAAATTAGTATGTCAAACTTATTTGGATAAAAATTTCATTGTCAATTTTTTTCGTAAATGTTGGCAAATAAGGATCCAACCCCGATTCTCTAGTTAATCACAACTAGGGATACGGACATACGGTCTGGGAGGTAAAAACGTTTAGTCTACTTGGATTTACTCCTATCCACTTTCAAATCCGCTTATTTTTCAGTTTTTCTATCTCCAATTTTCTATTTCTGTTTTTTAGTTTTACATTTTCAAATCTGAAAACATGTTCATCAATTTTTTCACCAAGTTCTGAAAACATGTTCATCAATTTTCAGTTTTACTTCACGGGTTACTAAATGATGCTTATTAAGACTCGTGTTAATAAGCAGCGCATAAAATAAGCAATGTTGTAAGATCGTGTTTACTTCAAAAGGTTTAAAACACCGTTTAACATTAAAATGTCCAAAATAACCATATACATATATACACACACAAACATTCATGAACACAAATCAATATATATATATAAAAGAGGAACTTTTTAAGAGCATACGGTGTGCCACATAATCCTGCCATGTCATCATATATAATAATTATTAATTACTTTTTATGCTTTTTATTATTTATTACATTCTATTTTTTATTGCATATTGATATGGAAACAAAATATTGTACGATTATATAAAATCCACCTTATTTATACTACGTAACTTTTTGAGAACCTCTACTTAATTACTCCGTATTAATTTGTATGACACGGATTAGCATCCTTTTTTATTTGTAATAAAAAATAAAGTAGATTGAAAATTTATTTGTAAGAACTAAATTTTAGATGATGAAGTACGTCATTCATAAAATTTAGTTACAGTAGATTTAATTCATAATTTGTATTAATTTGTATGACACGGTTCAGCCATCCCTTTTTCATAATTTGGAAGATTCCGTCAATTTAGCCCAATCAGTTAGATTTTATTTATTACAGTAGAGTCAGACAATTCAACTCATTTTGGTATTATCAAACGGCTTTATATGAGACTGGGTTTATTTTGCTTTTACATCACATTAAATTATACTACGTATATGATTTCGAAAATATCAAATTTACAATTAACTAAATTATGTACTGCCCGTGCATCGCACGGGCTTGAAAGCTAGTATATAATATAATATGTGGGGTAAGGGGTAATATACGAGGGGTGGGGGTAGGGTAGGGTGGGTCGGTGTGGGGTCGAGGTGGTAGGGGGTGGCAATAGGGTAGGGTGGATCGAGGTGGGGCCGAGCTACGGGCATGTGGTAGGGGGTGGGGTAGGGTCATTGTAGGGAAAAGGGGTACGCGGGGTGGGGGTTAGGTGGGTAGGGTAGGGGTAAGGGGTAAGGTACGAGGATGGAGGTACCGGAATGGAATCGACATCGGAGCGGGACCGGACCCACCACTAGGTGTATGTATGCAAATTCATTGCAGCGGCACTGTAGCATCTTGGTTTTCCAAATTTGGAAAACGAGTAAAAATCACTTTTGCACATCATTAAGGAAAAGAGAGACATGTCTCATTTTTTTCGTTTTGGAAAACGATTTGGTAAACGCGTTTTTCTGTTTTCCTTTCTCCAGTTTTCCAGAAATTTTCTTTGGTAAACACGTTTCCTGTTTTCTGTTATCCAGTAAATATCTCTGTTAGTAAATAGGCTATTAGTATTTCTAATTCGGTCAGCACCGCCTCATTGGCAACGTAAATTCATACAGATTTACACAACTACTCCCTAATAATGAGCGGATCATTCTTTTTTCTTTTACAAGCACATTTTAACTGTGAGGCATTAGGAAAAATTGTTTAATAGTAAAGAGCTTGGATGGTGTTGTATTTAGTTAAAATTGTTTAATAGTAATTGTTATTCGATTCTTTGAGAGAAAAATGTTTTTCAGTAAAAGTTGATGGTGTTTGATAAGAAATATGTTTGTGTAAAAGAGAAAGTGAAAATTGATTTAAAATAACCCTCCACCGGCTTCCAATTTAAGATACTCAATTCAACTATTTTAAGTCAAAAACTCGGAATCACTTAAAATATTCAATTCAGCTATTTTAAGTCAAAAACTCGGAAGCACTGGAAATACTAAATTCAACCAATAAGATTTGGCCTTTTCTCGAGAGGCTAATAAGGGATTTGCATATGCTTCATCAAATTATAGACTTCATTTGCCATTCTTGTTTGGGGGGTTTTCAAGTGTTTGTGCAAGTACTTTCTTGTCCCCAAGATATATATCCCCTACTACTTGAAAAATAAAATATTACCTCCGTCCCAAAATAAACTTCTCAGTTTGACTTCATACAGATTAAGAAAATAAATTTGACTTTACTGTGGAGTGCGCTGTTTTGCACTGTTTAAACACTGTTTAGACACTGTTTGGCACTGTTTGGCACTTTTTTTATGTAGATTCCTTGCCAAATAAGGAAAGTTTTGAAGTGTGAAGTTAATTTCGGGACTGCCCGAAAAGGAAAGTGAGAAGTTAATTTTGGGACGGAAGAAGTAGTACTAACCCAGCCTTTGGCAGGCAGAGATTGCTTATAAAAGGGGTGGGAAGCAAAACAATCTTTCTTCAACCAAGTTGAACACCAACCTAACAGATGGAACTTCCCCCAACCTTCTTCTACCCATTATCATCTTCTTGAATGGTTTCGCGCCGGCCATGGTGTAAAGTGTTTATATTACTTCTAACTGTCAACCACATCTATATGGCAGTCCTTCAGCACCCCCCTACTCTAGATTCATTGCCACCGCCCTTCCCCAATACCTTGCTTGCACCAATAATGCACTTCACCGTAGATATACATTGTGCAGTGTGTGTGTATACTCTTTTTTTTTTTTTGGTAAAACCATAGGCACATCCGCGCCTATCTTTCATTCACAATCAACCTGTGTGTATACTCTAGTCCATAAATAAGTTGAAGTGTTTGGAAGAAAAAGATAGAAATTATAGAAGATGGAGCTTGAAAGGTTGGGGGATGGTGGAGATGTGGTAGGATCAAAGATGGTATGTGAAATAAAAGGGATACAGAGAAATGATGAGATCGTGACTTGAGGGAAAAGGATGCGGTCGTTTATTGCTCGGTTGCTCCGTCCATTCTTCAATTGTTGTGGCCATTTCTTCTCTGGCTATTGGCTTGATGACGATCGTTCAAAAACAAAGAAAGAAAATACTTCCTCCGTTCTTTTTTAATTGCAACAGTCAACTTTTCACGCTTGCCAATGCATAAGTTTGACCGTTAATATCTTTCATTCCTTATTATTAAAAAAATAAAAAAATATCAGATTTTGAAAATTTATTATGAGAGGAGTTTGAAAATATTTTTTTAAAAATTTAACTCATAATACATTAATAAATAAAATGTAGTCAAAGTAGAATCTGTGAATAGTGAAAAAAGTCCTACGTTGCAACTAAAAGAGAACGGAGGTAGTATAAAAGATAAAACAAAAATATATTCCAACCAATGAAAATATGACATGTGTCAGGATGACATGTTGATTTGGTTGATGCAGGTCACAGATGTATTTTGAGAAGATTAGGGGCGGCCCTGTATATTTGAAGGCCTAGGGGCGAATAATTCAAAATGGGCCTAAATTTTAAAAAAATTGTAAAAGCTGTTTCTTTTTAAATTACATGCAAAATAATAATATTTGAAGTGTATTTTTATTTATTTTCATGTTTCCAGTATAGT